GTTCCCTGCACTGATGAGGATCCAGAAATACGTGTTATTTTGTCTTCTTTTGTGTAGCATTCTTGAAGGATTTGGCATGGTGGCATGGCTCAGACCATAATGCACACCAAGGGGAGCAGTTTCCCAGATGGAAGCAAAGCAGGAAGAAGGGGAAGTGAGGAGGCTAGTTGCTTTTTTTCAAAGCCTACCCAGATGAGATAGAGTCCTGTTTTATATGATAGCCTACTGCAAGGCTTCCTCACCCAAGCTGCTGGCAAGAGACACAGGAGCAGGTAGGTCCGTTCATTTGCTTCCCAGGTTCAGGGGGTCCGGAAGACTCCGGGTAGCTACTGGTGCTACCAGTTGCTCTGTTGGAGGTTTGGTGTCTGAAGTGAAGTCATCTGTGCAGGACAGCTGTGTAGAGCTGCTGCCCATGCAATCTGCACAACACTTGTTGGCTATTGCAGCCACCATCATTTTCTGCATCTCCCCCTCTCCCTGCTCTTCCCAGCCCTGAGCTACCCTGCCTCATGTGTCCAGGCTGCAGCCCACTTTGGCTGATCCCTGTCCTCATGACTGCAGATACAGTTGCCTGCCCAGAGGGAGAGTGACCAGCTGGATACTCACTTCTAGGGGAGTGGTGGCATGTCTCTCTTGACTGTGTGCATGTATACGTAGGGGAGAGCTAAAAACAAAGAGTCACTGCTGCTTTTGGGGCCTGCAGGAGGGGCAGCTGAAAGGTCAGCTGCTACCAGGAGGTGCAGGGAGGTGGCTTGGCACCACAGGAGCAGCGGGAGCCACATACTGCTGTCTTAGGTTTACATTAATGTGTGTAGCATATCTGGGCAGCATGGGAACAGGGAGTGAGGGAAGGAAGTGGAAAGCAATTTTTGCTAGCAGTCAGCAGGCCATTTGATTGTCTCTTGTGGGATGACTGCAGCGTGTGAGCTGCCAGCTGAAAAGCCCTGGTGTAACACCCACCCATGAGAGCAGAGCCCTAAGCTCAGGTCCCCCTCACTTCTCCCACCTCTCGGGAGAGCTCCATGGCACCATCATCACCAGGCAGGCTGGCTGGGAATGCCGTTTTACAGTAAGCCACATACACTTTCCTAGGAGCAGAGACCTTATGCTGGCTCCTGTGCCCAGGTCCTCATCAGTTTTGTCTCCTCCATTTTTCCTAGTGAAGCTAAATATTTAATTTCAGAAGGAGTGGAACAGCCTCTCACCCCACACAAGTGAGGAGCCTGATTTCCAGGGCATTCCTCAGGGTGGTGTGAGTTGGGGGGGGGGTTAAATCTCTCCAGGCTGAGGGGGGAACTGAGCCCACATCTCCCCTTCTAGCCACGTGACTAGAAACCAATACTGTTGGTGGATCCCATAAAAGAACCTTATGAACCTTAGTCTGACAGAGCGGCCAGTGGTGCCTGTGCTCGGGCTGACTCCAAAGCGCATAGAACCACCTCTGCTCTTTTGATAACGCCATGTTTCCTATAGGTGAGCCTATGCAGCTCACTGCCGCGTGTGCTGGCTGGTCTGCATCCACTCCTGAGGCTCCCATTTCTCCCCATAAAAGTACTCCTCGCAGGGTCACAGATTTCAAGCCAGTGACAAGGCGCCTTAAAGCAAGTCACTGCAGTGCTTCATATTTAGGTGCCCAAATCCTTTGTTGGATTTGCTCAGGACTTGTCTGAGCATTGTGTCTGCTGTTCTGTATTTTCAAAAAATCTGCCTGAGAACCATTTTCAAGAAAAGACAGGGAGTTCAGTCAGACTCAGAGGAAGCACTATCAAAGGTTTCTTTCACTTTTCTCATTAGAAAATTCGACTATAGCTGTTTCTTTAGTATCCAGGTGTTCCAATAAGCGATGCATTTCTGATGTATCTGGAGCAGCAGCAGTAGTAACA